CTTGGGTAACACCAGAGAGTAGAGCCACATGGCCCGAGACACACCTTGGGAGCACAGATTGAGCTTGGGCCAGCTCAGCACCAACACTTCCTAGCAATGATACTGCTCGTCAGCTCCAAAAAAATGGGTGATTCCTGCTGGAGTGATTTCTGGAAGTAACTGACATCATTTTTTGTGTTTAATTTATGTACTAACCTCTGCTTAAAGCATTATGCTAGAAAAATAATCTCGCTTTCATTGGGAGACTTTGCTGTTGCATGTGTTACAAGTTCTGTTTCACAGTAGTTCATGGAACCTCATGTTTAAATAGACTTCATTTGCATTAAAGTAGGCTGTTACTCTAAGTCCTGCCATAACTCTGCTTCCCTTTAATTCATTGGCTGACAGTCATGTTAATATTCACAGAATCCTGTTACTCCTTGACTCACAGTTCATTTCCTGTCACAATATTTCATTACTGTTAATATTTCAACACCTTGTGTCAATAGCTGAGATCCAACAGGTGCAATTCACTGATCAGCATTTCAAACACTACTCTCATACAGTCATACAGCTGTACAGAACGGAAACAGACCCTTTGGTCCTACTCATCCATGCTGACTAAATATCCTAAATTAATCTAGTCCCATTTGCCAGCATTTGGCCCATATCCCTCCTATTTGGCCCATATCCCTCCTATTTGGCCCATATTCCTCCTATTTGGCCCATATTCCTCCTATTTGGCCCATATCCCTCCTATTTGGCTCATATCCTTCCTATTCATGTACCCTTCCAGATGCCTTTTAAATATTGTAATTGGACCAGCCTTCACCACTTCCTCTGGCAGCTCGTTCCATTCACTCACCACACTCTGTGTGAAAAATTTGCCCCTTAGGTCCCTTTTAAATCTTTCCCCTCTCACCATAAACCTATGCCCTCTAGTTTTGGAACCTCCCCCGACCCTGGGGCAAAAACCTTGTCTATTCACCCTATCCATGTCCCTCATGATTTTATAAACCTCTATAAGGTCACTCCTCAGCTTCTGACGCTCCAGGGAAAATAGCCCCAGCCTATTCAGCCTCTCCCTATAGCTCAAACCCTCCAACCCTGGCAACATCCTTGTAAATCTTTTCTGAATTCTTTCAAGCTTCACAACATCCTTCCTGTAGCAGGGAGACCAGAATTGCACGCAGTATTCCAAAAGTGGCCTCACCAATGTCCTGTACAGCCGCAACATGACCTCCCAACTCCTAAACTCAGTGCACTGACCAATAAAAGCAAGCATACCAAGCGCCTTTTTCACTATCCTATCTACCTGCAATTCCACTTTCAAGGAACTATGAACTTGCACTCCAAGGTCTCTTTGTTCAGCAACACTCCCCAGGACCTTATCATTAAGTATACATGATTTGACCTGATTTGCTTTTCCAAATTGCAGCACATCACATTTATCTAAATTAAACTTCATTTGTCACTCCTCAGCCCAAGGTCCAGTTGTACTCCGAGGTAACCTTCTTCACTGTCCACTACACTTCCAATTTTGGAGTCATCTGCAACTTACCATCTGTACCTCCAACGTTCACATCCAGATCATTTATGTAAATGACAGAAACCAGTGGACCCAGCACTGAACCTTGTGGCACACCGCTGGTCACAGGCCTCCAGTCTGAAAGGCAACACTCCAACACCAGCCTCTGTCTGCTACCTTCAAGCCAGTTCTGTTTCCAAATATCTAGTTCTCCCTGGTTTCCGTGTGATCTAACCTTGCTAACCAGTCTACCACGAGGAACCTTATCAAATGCTTTACTGAAGTCCATATAGATCATGTCCAGTGCCCTGCCCTCGTCAATCCTCTTCGTTACTTCTTCAAAAAACTCAATCAAGTTAATGAGACACGACTTCCCACGCACAAAGCCATGTTGACTGTCCCTAATCAGTCCTTGCCTTTCCAAATACATGTAAATCTTGTCCCTGAGGATTCCATTCAACAACTTGCCTACCACCGATGTCAGGCTCACTGGTCTATAGTTCCCTGGCTTTTCCTTACCCACCTTCCTTAAATTGGTGGCACTATGTTAGCCAACCTCAACCGTCTGGCACCTTACCTACTGCTATTGATGCTACAAATAGCCACGATTCTCCTCTCACAAGAATGAAAATTAGGAATCTGCCTCCCAGGTGAAGGTATCTTTGTTGGTTACAGGATCCATCTGCTATCCTGGCCCACGTGACCCCTGACCACCAATGCAACATGGCCAACTTATAAATACTGTCTGAAACGGCCTCGCAAGATGTTTATCACCTCCTCAAGGGCAATTAGGAATGGGCAATCAAGGCTGGCCCAGCTAGCAGATCCCCCCCCCGTCCTGTGAATGAATAAAAATGAAATAGAGCATTAAATTAAATAAGAATACTCATGAAGAGTCTCAGGAGCTGACAATGACGTCTTCAAACCAATCCTGAAATCCTTGATGTTTGCTTAATCAACCTCTTCCTCTTTGTACTTGGCTTCCTGCATTATTCCAGTGAGGCTGAATGCAAGTTTAGGGAGCTGGCCCTCAGCTTTTAATGAAGCACTTTAGAACATCCCAGTTTCAATAACTTTAACTCATTAGCATTCTTCCCTTTTCTCCAGGGGAGTAGATGCTGGTAGACGTTTATTGTTGTCTTTTACACGTACATCTTTCATTTCTCTCCTTGTCCTTTTAGCAGTCTTTCGAATCAGCATCCTTTTTGTTTTTTAATCTCTCCTCATCATTCCATCTCAACCTTTCCCTTTAGTTTCTCTATCTAAATCTGTTCCTTCCACTGTTTCTGAACTTGCTTAAAATTTAATCTCTTCATCTCTGTGAAATTTTAACCTTATTTCTCACTCTACATCTGCTGCCTGACCTGCTGAACGTTTCTAGCATTTTCTGGTTTTGTTTAATCCCTGATTTAATGGAGTGGAATCACAGAAAGGTCCCAAATATCACTTGCCAAAATTAATGTTTTTCCTTCAGTTTGAACACCTCTGCTGCTCTATGCCTGAGGCTGAGTGCATATTATGACTCAAAACTGCTTACAAGATAACCTTTTTGTTGCTGCCTCTGAGCGTGCTTAAACAGCGCAGAGATATTCGAACAGTAATGTATGGCAGCTTGTTGAGTTATAATGAAATGCACCACACAGAAACAGGCCATTCAGTCCAAACGGTCCACACTTGTGTTCACGCTCCACCTCAATCTTCACCCACCTACTTCATTTAACCCGATCATTCCTCCTTCCTTCATGTACTTATCTCGTTACCTCTTAAATACATCTCTTAATTACTTACCTTTGGGACTGAGTTCCACATTATCCCTCTGGACAAAGAAATTTCTTCTGAATTCCCAATTGGATTTATTAAGGAACGCCCTACATTTCCGACCCATGCTTCTGATTTTGCCCAGGACTTGCCCAATACCTCTATAACTAGCCCATCGAACATTTCCCAAATTTGAAAGGCGCTGTCAGATCACCCACTCAGCTTTTGTCTTTCTAGACAGAAGACCATCCCCAAAGTCTTTCCTGATAATTGCAACCTCTGGAGACGAGAGATGTCCATCATATTCCAAGTATCTTTAATTCCCTAATTCAGCAATTGTTTCCCATCACCTGATGGTGCTGATTTGTATTACAATCCACTCTCCCTGTAATAATTCACTTGATTGTTCCTTTAACCTCTGTGAGCCTAAAGGGTGAATGTGGATAGATATTTGGCTGTGGGTTCTTAAATTAGGGTTAGATCCCATTTCTTCCCGGTCGCACTGCAGCAGTCACTGGGCAATGCTTACGGACAATACCTCACATCGCCTAAGTTCAGAAACGCTACGACCTGCAATCAGATTTTTATCAGTAGTTGTGTTTAAGCTCTGCAAGTGTCTGCAATGTCAAATGTAACTGCAATAGATGTGTCTAACGCTCTCATTGCCGTTTACACAAACAGGAGCACAGACAACTTCTGCACAGATGCTCCCTAGCTCTGGCATAAACATGAGATAATGTTTATTTTACAGCACAGTTTACGGGATCACTCCCGAGCTTAGATCTGAATGGGACAAACTGAATTGATGTTGAAGGGTTGCTGTTAATGTCTGATGACCAGTTACAAATTTATCCCTGTTGTTTAGTCATGAGTCCTTTTCATTACAGTCTTAGGGCCAGGAGTTGCTAAAACCACCAGCCTCTACACAACACTGCTGCTGGTCTGGATCATGGTCATGGGCTGGATGTTAACCCCTTATTGATCAGGATTTAAAGTGAGAGAGTGGAGGAAAGGACCAGTGTGACGTCACATCACCAAATCGAGCAGATTCAATAGGCACTGGGTTACTCTGGTACTTGTTGGCCCACTAATTGCTGTAAATGACAGACCTTTTTAAAAAGAGCCAGGACCTGCTCCAGATATAATAAGAGGGCAGCTGCTGCACATTGGGGAGTTTTTTTTAACAGGCCAGTTTTGGGGCCCTCTTGTGGCACAGTCTCTGGACCGAGAGGCCAGGGTTCAGAGGTGTGTGATAACATTTCCGACCAGTTGATGAGAAAAAATAAGTTAAATAAAACAAAAAAATTAAAGGGTTGATTTTGGGCACTTGTGCAGTGGTAGTGCGCCTACCTCTGAGCCAGGAGGCCTGGGTTCAGCTCCCACCTGCACTAGAGATGTGTAATAACATTTCTGAACAGGTTGATAGAGAAAAGGGCTTTTTTATCCTGCAGGAAGGGGGATTGTTTGGGAAGGATAGAGGGCAGACTGCAGTTTGTATTGAACTATGAACTGCTAACAAGTTTGTGGAAGGCAGACCCCTGCTCCCTGTTTGGGACAACTAGCCATATACCATCTGAGCTCACCCTAAAAGTAAATTAAACTGTCTCCCCTAAAGGTGAGGGAGCTGACATCAGATAAGCTCCTCATCTCTGCATGTTGAAGAAATAATGAGAAAAGTTTAGAGAGAGAGGAGAGAAGAGAGACAGCGAGAGACCTCGGTGAGAATGGGCTTTACCTTCTCCTTTTCTCTCTGGATGTTGCTCTCCAGCTCGGAAAGTTTCTCCTCCAACTGCGCAATGATCTCCTGTTCCTGCCGGATTTGAGCAATTTCCGATTCTCGCTCTCCCTGAAGCAGAGCTCGCTCCATCTCCGCCTGCAGTGAATGGTACACAGCCACATTTACGTAGCGCCCGACACATCTTCAGCGTTTCCTAAGTGACTTATTTCTAATAATGTACATTCTTCCTTTACCCCATCCTCCGCCCAAGGGTTAGCGCTGTTATAAAGCACGAAATGCAGCAGCTAAATTGTGCACAGCAAGATCCCACAGGCTGAGCTGTGAAATAAATCATGTCAAAGTTCATTCTAACAGTCATGTTGATTCTAAGGGAAGCCCTCAGCCTGAGAATGTTGGATAGCTAACCTGCCAGAATTTTTGTGTAGTCTCCATCTGTCAAAGGTTAAAGTGCAGGTCCCTGCTGCATGAAAACCTGAGAGGAAAATTATCGCAGCATTCAACAATACTATAACTCTTCTCATTTTGTTCAAATACTTTCATTTTTTGCTGCTCAAAAAGTAGCTGAGATGCCAGGCAGAAAAGGATGTTTCGCTAACAAGGAATTACATTTATATAGTGCTTTTTCACTATGGCCAAGCTAGTCTGAAAAGGTACAGAGATAACAAGGTGTAGAGCTGGATGAACACAGCAGGCCAAGCAGCATCAGAGGAGCAGGAAAGCTGACGTTTCGGGCCTAGACCCTCCTTCAGAAATGGGGGAGGGGAAGGGGGTTCTGAAATAAATAGGGAGAGGGGGAGGCGGATAGAAGATGGATAGAGGAGAAGATAGGTGGAGAGGAGACAGACCGGTCAAAGGGGTGGGGATGGAGCCAGTAAAGGTGAGTGTAGGTGGGGAGTTAGGTCAGTCCAGGGAGGATGAACATCCCGCCCCTTTGACCGGTCTGTCTCCTCTCCACCTATCTTCTCCTCTATCCATCTTCTATCCGCCTCCCCCTCTCTCCCTATTTATTTCAGAACCCCCTTCCCCTCCCCCATTTCTGAAGGAGGGTCTAGGCCCGAAACGTCAGCTTTCCTGCTCCTCTGATGCTGCTTGGCCTGCTGTGTTCATCCAGCTCTACACCTTGTTATCTCAGATTCTCCAGCATCTGCAGTTCCTACTATCTCTGAAAATGTACAGTCTAGGAAGCTGAGGAGACACAGGCCGAGTTAGTACAAGGTTGGGAGATCACTTGGAATACCAGGTACAGCAGAGCGAGGCCTAGTGGTTCAGTGGGCCAGAAACACTAAGTTCAATTCCCACTCCATAAAATGTAGGAGCAGCAAGAGGCCATTCAGCCCATCAAGTCTGCTTCGCCATTCCATGAGATCATGGCTGATCTGATAATGTTCAACACCACTTTCCTGCCTCTTACCCATAACCCTTGATTCCCTTCCTGGTTAAAAATCTATTTCAGCTTTAATATACTTAACAATCCAGTCTTGACAGTCCTCTGTGGTAAAGCATTCCACAGATTGATTACCCACTGCGAGAAAAAAATCCTCCTCATCTCTGTCTTAAACGGCCCTATTCTAAGATGACGCCTTCTGGTTTTAGACTCTCCTGCAAGAGCGGAATATATCTGAGCAACTACCCTGTCCAGCCCTCTTGTACATTTCAATAACATCACCCCTCATTCTCCTAAACTCCAATGAGTACAGGCCCAACTTACTCAGCCTCTCCTTATAAGACAGTCCCTCCATACCTGGGATCAGCCGAGTGAATATTCTCTGGACTGCCTCCAAAGACAAAATATCTTTCATTAGATAAGGGGCCCAAAACCGATCACAGTATTTTAGTTGTGGTCCAACTAGTGCCTTTCATAGTTTTAGCAAAACCTCCCTATTTTCATACTGCATCCTCTTTGAAATAAACTCTAACAGTCCATTTACCTTCCTTATATCTTGCTGAACTTAAATGCTAGTTTTTTGTGATTCATGCACAAAAGCTCTCCAATCCTTTGTGCTTTGGCTTTCTGTAGTCTTTCTCTATTTACATAATATCAGAGTAGGAGTTGCTGGACAAGAAAGGTATGTGCATAACACTGTCAAACAGGTTGTGTATCGATTTGTAAATCCTTCCAGCGCACACCAGTGGCAGGCATCAAATGTGGGACAGACTCTGGTCAGCAAACTGATGGAAAGAAATTGGAACCTTGACCATCACCACCTACAGCTCCAGGCTGCAACATGCAGGTTAAAGCGGACGTTGTCCCAACCAATATAGGCTTGTCTGGGGTGCTGGCACCTTGATTGGCTGGGGGTGGGTATCAGATTGGCACTAAATGCATGGAGTTAGGTCTCTGTTCTGACCAGGATGGATGTGGGACTTGTCTCTTTGCTCTACCCCTAACTGAAATCACAATGCGGCAGGTTGGATCTTTCCATGAGCTGAGGGCTCAAGACAGAGCATTGGAGCAGAATCTATTTTGTTACGTTGTGCCTTTAGCCCGTGGCTATACTATGTCCACTCTCAGCAAGGGATGGGAGAGCACCTGGCAATAGGAGGAGAGCAATAGGTAGCTCCCCATCTCTAGACCAGAGGTTCCAGGTTCAAGTGCCACTCCAGGATTGGGACCTGAAGTTCACATGGTGGTTTAATGATGATAATCAGCCCGGGCATCCTTCCACCACCTCCCCACTATTCCCATGGAAACATGGGAGTACATACACTCAAAATAATTACTAGCTCAATCCCCATCCAGTCTACGGCCAGTGCCCAGTTTATGGACATCTGACTCATGAATGCTCATACTTGTGAATGAGATTGCGTACAGGAGTGTTTTAGCATTAATTTTAAAGATCCAACAGGCAAAGATTTGCCGGTATTTATGAATTGCTAATTTATAGCATCCCGTGTGGTGTTATGACTTGCGAACAAATCGACTTGCAAACAGACTAAAAAACAGACCCCATTTGTAATCCAGGGACTGCCTGTAATCCAACCCCTAGTCTTTAATGTTTGTGCGATGTCTTGCTCCATCACAGCATTGCTACTGTCAATCCAAATATGGATTCTTTCTGTAACCTGGAACAACTGTGCCCAGTTTCAGGTCTGAGGATGTTTGTTTTCAGGAAGTTAAAGTTGGGTCGTCACAGTTGGTCATTTTAAAAGGGAAGAAAAGGGCAAAACGTTCCGAGATGGTCCCAGATAACTGTTGGAGCAGATTCTCCTCCTTCCTCCAAAGCAGCATTGGTGACCGGGCTTGTAAAAGGCAGTTGGCCTGAAAGGGTTAATCTAAAGTCCCACCCACTGAGTGTGAAATGACCGTCTCTGGGAGCAGCCAGTCAGCTCTAATTGGTAGATGCAGTTCCAGTTTGTTCGTTTATCTCCACTGTTAATGACTATGTAGTTTAAGTTGGCTTGGCAGCTCTTTGGAGATAATCATATCCTCAATCAGAGTAATGTAGTTATCTCCACTGTAAATTGCGTTTTTTAACTGTAACATGATGAACATTTCTTGTTACTGAAGAATCTGCCACTTTTGACCAGACTTGCACTTGGTCACCCTTCCCCAGTTAGTATTAGTAATCCTTAGACTAGTACTAGAATAGAGCTTGGTAAGATTGGTATCAACCCAGGTGCCCAAAGGAGATCCAAGCACTAATCTGGTGCCATCTGAAGATGTCTCTTATTAAAGTGCAGTGGTCAGGTGGGTGCCCCAGCACCATGCCACCTCTGAACCACGGGTAATGTCACTGCCCCAACACCATTTGAGATTCTTAAGTGGCAAGTTAATTGTCAGCAAAGACCCTCATCCTGCCACCGACAATATTAAATAAGAGAGGTGGTGACATAGTGGTATTGTCACTGCGCAAGGGATCCTGAGACCCAGGTTAATGGTCTGGGGACATGGTGTGAATCCCAACATGGCAGGTGGTGAATCGGTGAAAATCCGGTACTAAAAGCCAGCCAAAAAGCAATCATCACCGTTAAAAACTCAGCTGTTCACTAATGGCCGCTTTTGGGAAGGGAATCTCTGCCATTCTTACCTAGACTGACCCCCAGCAACGTGGTTTGGTGAGTCTTAACTGATCTCTGAAGTGGCCCTAGCAAGCCACTCGGTTCAGGGGTTAATTAGGGATGGGTAATAAACGCTGCCCTTGCCACATGATCCCCATTTCCGCTGAATGCATAAAAAGAAATTAACCCAGGGATTGGCATTCTTGGAAGCAAACCAATTAGGGGTAGTTTGTGGTGGTGGGAGCCCCGGGGTGTGGTTGGAAGAGGGGGGGTCCCACTTGTCCAGAGGCAGTGCCTGACTGAGAGGCGTGAGGCACTGAGAGGTGAATCAAACCCACTCTTAAGGTGGGATGTCGTGTGATGAAACTTCCAGGAACCTGACAGGGTTGGTAGCCCCTAGATATTAAATATTACAAAAAATCACTGAGACCAGAGTCAGGGTGTGTGAATTGGACTCAGAGGATGTGCGAAACACAAAGGAGGCCACAGAGCTTAGTAAAACGGAGCCAATTCCCCCACCTCATGATTGGACTCCTCAAGTTGTTGGTCAAGTTCTTTAATTCTCTGCTTGAGTTCATCGACGGATGTGAGGATTCTGAGCCTCTCCTCCTCCAGGTATACGGCCTGCGGGACTGAGTGACTGCCTGCAGAATCTTCATGCTGCTTAGGTTGAAACATAGGAAAGTTTGAGAGGGAGGAAAATAAGGGGTAAAAAAAATCCAAGACAGCAGCTCAGATAGTACCTTACAGTGCAGAAGGGGGCCATTCAACCCATCACAGCTGTATTAGCACACGGGAATATTCCATCAGGTTACAGTCACTCACCTGCGCATTCCTCAAAACCCTGAAAAAAAATTCCCTCATGACCTCTTATCGAATTCCCTTTCAAGTAGTGCATTACAGATCAGAACAAGTCGCTGTGTAAGAAAAGGCTTCTCCCTGTCACAATTATCTTAAATTTGAGCCCTTCGGTTGCCACAACTGCATTTTCAGCCCTTTTAACTCTCCAGCCCAATCTCCCCCTGGCCGCTTCATTTTATTATTCACTTGCAGCATATAGGCTTCTGGCCAGCCAGCATTTATTGCACTGTCTCATACAATGTTGCAGTGAAGTTTAATGAAAGCCTGGCGCAGTGGGCAGTGAAGAAGGTCATCTGAGATTACAAAGAGATTTTGATTGATTGGGTCAATGGGCTAAGGAGTGGCAGATGGAGTTTAATCTGGATGAATGCAAGGTATTGCATTTTGGTAAAACAAACGACAGCAGGACTTATACAATTAAAAGTAAGGCCTTGGGTAGTGTTGTAGAACAGAGAGACCTCAGGGTTTGGATGTATAATTCTTTGAATTTTGCATCACATGTAGACAGGGTTGCTAAGTAGGTGTTTAGAACTCTTGCCTTCATTGCTCAGACCTTTGAGTGTAGGAGTTGGGATGTCATGTTGAGATTGTACAGGATGTTGGTATGGCCTGTTCCAGAATATTGTGTCCAGTTCTGGTCACCTTGTTATAAGAAAGATATTATCAAGCTAGAAAGGATTCAGAAAAGATTTACCAGGATGTTGCTGGGAATGGAGGGTTTGAGTTATTGGGAGAGGCTGGATAGGTTGGGACTTTTTTCACTGGAGCGTAGGAGGTTGAGGGATGACCTTATAGAGGTGTATAAAATCATGAGAGGCATGGATAAGGTAAATAGCAGGTGTCTTTTCCCTAGGGTGGGGGATTTCAAGACTAGGGGGCATAGTTTTAAGGTGAGAGGGGAAAGATTTAAAAAAGACATGAGGAGTAACTTATTTACACAGAGAGTGGTTTATGTGTGGAATGAACCGCCAGAGGAAGTGGTGGATGTGGGTACAGTTACAAAGTTTAATAGACATTTGGATAGTACATGAATAGGAAAGGTTTGGAGGGTTATGGTCAAGTGCAGGCAGGTGGGATTAGTTTAGTTTGGAATTATGGTCAGCGTCAACTGGTTGGACCAAAGGGTCTGTTTTGGTGCTGTATGACTCTATGACTCTCTATAATCTTCCCGACTCTCATGTGGTTTCTGACTGTAACCCTTCGCTCCCATTGTTTTTAGAGGGGAAGTCAGTGCTGCTAATGATTCTTATTTTGTCCTCTATCGGTTCTCCTAGACACTGTTTTACTTTCTTGCCTTGAACTCATTTGCCATTCAGCATTTACCATCTCATGTAATCTGCTGTCCTCACATACACGTTCCCCTCCCTTCCCTCTCGCCCCCGTTTTCCGACCTTGCTGGAAACCTATCTTGATCTTTTTTTTCCAGAGTCAGACAAAAAGTTTATCAAACACAGCAAGTGCTGGAGAAACTCAGTCTGTGGTAGCCATGATGTGGAGATGCAGTGTTGGACTGGGGTGGACAAAGTCAGAAGTCACATGATACCAGGTTATAGTCCAACAGGTTTATTTAAAACCACAAGCTTTCGGAGCACTGCTCCTTCATCAGGTGAGGTTGCCTCACAAGGGAGCAGCGCTCCGAAAGCTTGTGATTTCAAATAAACCTGTTGGACTATAATCTGGTGCTGTGTGATTTCTGACAGCATCTGTAGCGAGAGAAACGGAAATAATGTCAGAACCGAAGAAGTGTGTTAATGGACTTAAAGCGTTAACTCTGTTTCTCTCTCCATAGATGCCGCCAGACCTGCTGAGTTTCTCCAGCACTCTCTGTGTTTGTTTTGGATTTCCAGCATCCACAGTGTTTTATTGATCTGACACGTTAACTCTGTCTCCCTCTCTCCACATGCGCTGCCTGATCCGCCCAGTATTTCTAACACTTTTTAACCGAGAAAACCGAACAATGCTGGATGCTGGAAAACTGAAACAAAAACAGTGTCCTCAGGAAAGGTCACTGGACCCAAAATGCTAACTCTGATATCTCCCCACTGATGCTGCCAGGCCTGCTGAGCTTTTCCAGCAATTTCTGTTTTGGTTTTCACTTGGTGTCATATGGCACTTCACTGAGTTCCAAAACTGATTTGTTCCCGTGCACTTTTAAAAAGCAACACGCAACTCCCTCTCATTCAGAAAAGCCAGAACTGTTGCAGAGAAAGGTTTGGTCTTTCTGGGTGAAGGGTTTAGTTCACACCCTCCTACCTCATGATGTGTGCTCTCGGTGCTGCTACACTCTTCCTTCAGGTTGTCCTCATCTGACTTCTCCAGAGCCTCTCGTGCTTTCTGAGGGCCGGGCTCAGCCAGTTGGTCCCTGATCCCTTTGCCCGTGCCGCTGCACTCCATCGAGATGCAGCTGCTGGTGGTGGTGGGGCCAGGCCCGGCTATGCTGGGGTAGAATCCCTGCTCATCAATGTGGAGCTGCTCACTGTGCGTGGTTACCCTCCCCATGTCAGGGGCACTTGGGTCGTCAGTCTTTGTGTACTCCGCACACAGGTTCAGGATGGTTTCAAGACGCTGTCGCTCCTGTAAGATCAGAAATAAGGAGCTGAGTCCTAGAATATGTCACCACTTCACCTACAGAAAATATCCCAATGGCGGTTTATCATAGAATCTCTACAGTGCAGAAAGAGGCCATTTGGCCCATCGAGTCTGCACCGACCCTCTGAACAGCATGCCACCCAGACCCAGCCCCCAACACTATCCCTGTAACCCAACATTTCCCATGTCTAATCCATCCAGCCATCACATCCCTAGACACTATGGGACAATTTAGCATGGCCAATGCACCTAACCTGCACATCTTTGGACTGTGGGAGGAAACCGGAGCACCCGGAGGAAACCCATGTAGACACAGGGAGAATGTGCAAACTCCACACAGACAGTCGCCTGAGGGTGGAATCGAACCTGGGTCCCTGGTGCTGTGAGGCTGCAGTGCTAACCACTGAGCCAGCATACCACTCCTTAAGAACAAATTAAATGAGAAAATTTACAAGCCGAGCATGCAGTTCTCTTGAAGGGTAGAGAGGTGACCAGGAGGCTTTCAGTAGCACGGACAGAGGGTGTGAAAGGGATTAAATAAGATCATACAAGCACGGAGAGGGCATTTCGTCTATTAAACCCGCTCTGCTATTCAGCGACCTCACACAGGACTGATCTGATTGGGGTCTGATTTCAATTTTCCTGTCTGTCCCCTTGAATCCCTTTTTAATCAAAAATCTGATGTGGAGGTGCTGGTGTTGGAATGTGGTGGATAAAGTCACAAGCCACACGACACCAGGTTATAGTCACTTCACCTGACAAAGGGGCAGAGCTTCGAAAGCTTGTGATTGCAAATAAACATAGATTTCATAGAATCCCTACGGTGTGGAAACAGGCCATTCAGCCCAACATGTCCACACTGCCTTTCTGAAGAGCATCCCACCCTGACCCATTCCCTACCCCTGCATTTTCCCATGTCTAACCTGCCTAACCTAAATGTCCCTGGGCACTATGGGTAATTTAGCATGGCCAATCCACCTACCCTGCACATCTTTGGACTGTGAGAACCTGGGTCTCTGAACTTTGCAGATGACACTAAGATTGGTGGAGTAGCAGATAGTGAAGGGGACTGTCGGAGAATGCAGCAGAATATAGATAGATTGGACAGTTGGGCGGAGAAATGGCAGATGGAGTTCAATCCAGGCAAATGCGAGGTGATGCATTTTGGAAGATCCAATTCAAGAGCGAACTATACGATAAATGGAAAAGCCCTGGGAAAAATTGATGCACAGAGAGATCTGAGCGTTCAGGTCCATTGTACCCTGAAGGTGGCAACGCAGGTCGATAGAGTGGTCAAGAAGGCATACGGCATGCTTTCATTCATCGGACGGGGTATTGAGTACAAGAGTTGGCAGGTCATGTTACAGTTGTATAGGACTTTGGTTCGACCACATTTGGAATACTGCGTACAGTTCTGGTCGCCACATTACCAAAAGGATGTGGATGCTTTGGAGAGGGTGCAGAGGAGGTTCACCAGGATGTTGCCTGGTATGGAGGGCACTAGCTATGAAGAAAGGTTGAGTAGATTAGGATTATTTACATTAGAAAGATGGAGGTCGAGGGGGACCTGATTGAGGTCTACAAAATCATGAGGTATAGACAGGGTGGATAGCAAGAAGCTTTTTCCCAGAGTGGGGGACTCAATTACTAGGGGTCACAATTTCAAGGTGAGAGGGGAAAAGTTTAAGGGAGATATGCGTGGAAAATTCTTCACGCAGAGGGTGGTGGGTACCTGGAATGCGTTGCCAGCAGAGGTGGTAGAGGCGGGCACGATAGTGTCATTTAAGATGTATCTAGACAGATACATGAATGGGCAGGGAGCAGAAGGATACAGATCCTTGGAAAATAGGCAACAGGGTTAGATAGAGGATCTGGATCGACACAGGCTTGGAGGGCCGAAGGGCCTGTTCCTGTGCTGTAATTTTCCTTTGTTCTTTGTGGGAGGAAACTGGAGCACCTGGAGGAAACCTACACAGACATGGGGAGAAGGTGCAAACTCCACACAGACAGTCACCCGAGGGTGGAATCGAACCTGGGTCCCTGGTGCTGTGAGGCAGCAATGCTAACCACTGAGCCACCGTGTTAGACTATAACCTGGTGTCGTGTGACTTCTGACATCGATCGAAAATCTAACTCAGCGTTGAATATATTCTCAATGACCCAGTCTCCACTGCCGTCTGGGAATTCCAAACACCAGAACCCCTCTGAGAAGAAATTCCTCCTCATCACTGTCTTAAATAATGTCCTAGTCAGCATCCTACCCTCGGTTAAAATCAGTAATGAGAAAATGGAATTGTTGCAGTTTATGGGACTTCACAGTGAGCAACGTAATTTTGCAAACATACAGCACAGCACGAGGCTATTTGACCCATCATGCCTGTGCTGGCCCTTTAAAGGAGCAATCCAATTAGTCCCACTTCTTTCACCAGATGCCTGAAATTCTTCTTTTCCATATATTTACCCAATTCCCGTTTGAATATTACAACAGAAACTGTTTCCACAGCCTGTTCAGGCTGAACTTGCAGGAACTCGCTGTGTGAACACAAATCCCTCTGTTTTACAGCAGTTCCTCCAGATTATGAGGCCTACACTCAGCAAACAGCCTGCACTGTTAGACCTGCACAGTAATACGCTGCTGACTCAGAACCGCTATGCTAAACACAACTTGACATGTTTGTGAACAAACTGCATCCAAAGGATATGTTTCATGAGGTGAACAGTATCGGTTACATTCATTTCACACTTTCTGGGTCACAAGTGTTTACAGATAAGTCTGCACACACTATCTGGACTGAACAAACAGTGGTTCAGATGTAATATTGATTTATTTCTGAATACCTCATTCTTTTTCCCCTGTGCTGTTCATTGGCAGTTGTTTTGAATGAACCAGCCACTGAACAACAACAATTTGCATTTATATAGAGCCCTCACCAAGGCATTTCACAGGAGCAGTCCCCAGTGAAATTTTACACCAAGTCTCATAAAGAAATATGAGGGCAGGTTTAGGAGGTTGGTTTTATTGGGGGTTTTAGAGAAGGAGAGAGTGGTGGGTAGGTTTAGGGAGTTTACTGGTCAAGGTCGCTGAAGATACCAAAGGTACAGCAAAGAAAATTGATCAACTGACCCGCATTGGAGGTTTGCCGAGATCCCAAGGTGGGGGCTGGAGGAGACAGGGCCATGGAGGGATTTGAATGCAAGGATGGGAATATAAATGGGTCTTTTTGAGCTGGGAGCTAACACAGATCAGTGAGCAGAGGCATGATGGTAAGAAAGTGGATCGTCAGGTTTTGGTTGAGCTCTAGTTTGTAGACAGTGGGAAATGAGAGACCAGTCTGGAGCGAGTTGGAATAATTTAATTAACTCGTTAGTAGTCGCTAAGGTGAACGGCAGACGTACATTGAAGGAGAAGTATGATAAACACACAGGGAGAAACAAAGAGAAGGGCATGTGGGAGATAAGCTCTCCAGTAATCTAAATGTAGCAAAGACCAGCTGGGCCGAATGGCCTGTTTTTGTGCCTTACATTAAATGTAACTTGATCATTCGCAGCTGGATAAAACCTCTTTCCTCTGATGCAAAGATGGTGGACAAGGACAGCAGTTACTGCTCATCCCTAAATGTGCTGGAGCAAGGAATGGTGAGCTACCTTCCCGATCAGCTGCATTGCGTGCAGTGTAGGTTCTAGACCAGAGATTGTGAATAATGTTACACATCTTCCCGTTCAAAAAATCACTGCTTTCACAAAACAATTCAAGCGTTTATCAGCAAATCCCAGTATATTCCAAGACAATCCCTCAACAAGGAGAACAGGGAGTAGATTCAGGCATCCCTGAGCAATGAGAGCCGAGCTGTCAATTGCAGATAATAGGAAAAACATTGAAAGGACTGATTGCTTGCCTGTTCTTTGAAACAAGCCTCATCTAGGGACACTGTCAGTCCCTTGCCCTTTCTCCCCAGTTCCAGGGCTGGATCTATGGAGAAAGCCAACCTTGATGTCCGTCATTCTCTCACCTTTCTCTACGCACACACATGCACACACACACAGACACAGATGCACACACACACCCACACACAAACGCATACACGCACACACACACACACACACCCACCCACATGCACACACAAACGCACGCACACACACACGTACACACATACACACATACGCATGCGCGCACACACACACAAACATACACACGTACACACACACACCCACACGCACACACAAACACATGCACACGTGCGCACACATACACACACATGCACACACACACACACGCACACGTACACACATACACAAGCACACACACACGTACACACACATGCACACATACACACACACACACACACACATGCACATGCTCTGTTTTCAAAGTCAAACCTCAAAGTGCCACCTTCTTCTCTCTAACTTATTCATGTGCAGGACTTTGAAACTACAGAACTGCTTATCTCCCTCATTCCTCCCTTATCCTTAAAAGCTGCAAGGTTTTATAACCCCAGGCTGCCTTCAGAAAGCCTGACATATGTGTGCTTTCCCATCTACCCTCCAATTTTCTCTTCCTGCTCATGCTGGTATTCTCAGCAACAGCACTCAGGCCTTCACCTGGATGTAACAGTCTCCTTTCATGACACTCCCCTGCAGGATAACTGCTGACTGCACCCACGCTCAGCCCATTAATCAATAATCTTAGAGTGAGGAGTAATTAGCCCGAAAGCAAGCTCTGGCCATTATTACTCAGTAAAGCAAAGGTTAACTGACAAAGCATGCTGTAACTTTGAGAGCTGACTGTCTACAGGAGGGACTTACGGACTGATCCATCGGCTGCTCCAGTCTCAGGTGCTTTCCGAATTTGCACGACCAATTGAGACTTTGATTTCAAAAGGTGGAACAGAATGCCTTGCACATACCTGCCTGAGGAGACCTGCCTTCATCCTGTCCCACTCAGAGCCTGTCAAAACACACCAGCTGCTTCACAGAGCCTGCCCATTCTCTCCAAGGTCGTGATAAACACACCAATCAGAACAGGAATCATGGGTCACGTACTTCCCCTGACGACCTGCCAATTTCTGACTCAGGGCCCTCGTAGCGCAGTGTAGTGTCCCCACCTCTAAACCAGGAGACCCAGGTTCAAGTCCCACATATTCTAAAGGTACGTAATAATATTCCTGAACTGTACTATGTCCTGAAACCAGCTTTAATGTTCCTCTTTAATCACATTTGGTCTGAAGCATTGTAGCCAGGTGACCTGGAAGAAGTTTTAGATGGCATCATGGTTGGCACAGACATGCTGGGCCGAAGGGCCTGTTCCTGTGCTGTTCTACGTTCTATGTTCCAAGTCATGGCTCATGGTTCCACACTTTCAACTCTGACTCAGGCGCCTGTAGATCAAAGTCCCACTTGAGCGTTCAAATTCACATTGGGTCTGTTTCAGATCCACACTGAGCCTGTTTAAGATCCTATGGCATTATTCCTTAAAAGAAAGCAGGGGGCTTCCCTCCAAACTATTCTGCAGCCTATAACGTACAGAATGTGGAGACAAAGTATGCTCCAACAGAAGCCACAAAACAAATAACCTGTTGATGTGATGTAGTTTGAGGGATAAACAGGGCAGGGAAGGTTGGGAGTGGGGATCCTGACTGCGATGTAGAAAGTTATAAGCGGCCATAGACAGTGGGAAATGCTTCTCTCTATAGAGATGACAATAACCAGGGCCAGAGTTTTAACATGAGGTTTGGAGGGGATTTGAGGAATTCTTTTTCACCCAGAGGATGTAAGGGGCACTAATTTAAGACTGAGAGGAGAAGGAATTTCTTCTCTCAGAGGGTGAGAGTCTTTGGAACTCCTTACGACAGAGAGCACTGGGGGCAGAGTCCTTGTGTATGTTTAAGGCTGAGATCGATAGATTCTTGATCAGTCGGGGAATCAAGGATTACGGGGAAAGGGCAGGAAAGTTGCTGTGAGGAATGTCAGAACAGCCATGATCCTACCGAATGGCAGAGTATGCTGGAGGGGCTGAATGGCCTACTCCTGTTCCTATTTGTTATGGCCTTATAGGGTGGTGAGTAACTGGAGCTCTCTGCCTAAAAAGCTGGTAGAGGCATGAACCCTCAAGAACTATTTTGATGAGCATTTGAAACACCATAGCGTACGAGGCAATGGCCAGGTACTGGGAAATGGCATTGGAGTGGATCGATGCTTGATGAACAGCATGGACACAATGGGCCAATGGGCCTTTCCGTGTGCTACAAAAACTCTATGAATCTAACATTGTCCAGGACACTAATTCCGCAAATACATGCTGTCTACTCGGGAGAGCGGACAGAGTTTAAGTGCAAGACTTTCAGTCAAGGCTCCTTCTCCATTGTTCTGAGGAAGGAACACTGGACCCAAAATGTTACCTGTTTCTCTCTCCACAGATGCTGGCTGACCTTCTGAGTTTTCCCAGCAATTTCTTATTGTGTTTCACAATTGCACACACCACCTTCTTAACAGCATTCGGGATTGTCCCTACCATCCTCCACTGTCCCATCACTGAGTCCGGAAGTCCCCTCAGTTCAGGAGCTGTCTGCTACACCAGCTGCCCTCAGCACTGAGTTAGCACTGTCTGTGTTAAACACCATTGGCCACTTGGTTGCTGGCACTGGAATTTCAAAAGCCAGGCTCCCAGCACACATCCTCTGCTGCCGCCTATCTCATTTCAATCTGCATTTTTAAACAAACTCGAGTTTGCCTTCAGTGTTTGTTGTTCCAATCTGATTCACTGCCATCTGTAGAGACAGCTCCTTTATGTCTTGCTTTGCGATCGCTGAGTCATTCAGACTGTCTGTTCAGGTCAATGTATCTGCCTCAGGAGGCACTTGTAGCTGTGAGGGTTACACTTTGAACTGGGATGGCTCAGGCACATTCCTGACTTTCTACAGGTTAGCTATTCAACAGCAGAAGGGCTTATCCTCTGGCAGCGCCTTCAGGCTCCTTGCATCCATCTCTAAGGCCCAAATTCTCACACCTCGCACCTCAAGGAAATGGGGGGTTGGGGGTAAACCAATTATAAAGCTGCCTTCCTGGCCAACGTCAGCAAGGATAACAGGAAGAAAGGAAACGAGAGGGGCCAAGTTGCATTTATATATCACCTTTCTCATCTTCAGGGTGTTCCCAAAGTGCTCCACAGCCAACAAAGTACTTTTGCAGTGTATTCACAAGAGTAAGAAAGCTGTGCACAGCATGATCCCACAGACAGTACCATGGAGAGAGAAAAACAGAGGCATGGTGGCTCAGTGGTTAGCACTGCTGCCTCACAGCGCCAGGGTCCCGGGCTCGATCCCACCCTTGGGCCACTGTCTGTGTGGAGTTTGCACGTTCTCCCTGTGTCTGTGTGGGTTTCCTCCGGGTGCTCCAGTTTCCTCCCACAGTCCAAAGATGTGCAGGCTAGGTGGAATAGCCATGGGAAATTGCCTGTAGTGTCCAGGGATGTGTAGCTTAGGTGGGTTATAGGGGGATGGATCTGCGTGGGATGCTCCAAGGGTTGGTGTGCACTTGTTGGGCCGAAGGGCCTGTTTCCACACTGTAGGGATTCTATAATCTATGAACCTACTTCTGTTACCTTTTAGGAAATGCCAGGCTAATGCCTCGTCTCTGGATCTTTCACTTTAAATCTGTCTCCCTTGTTACCAGCTCTTTACCACCTATAGTAGTTTCTCCTATTCCATCAAATCTATTTTTTCCAACTCTCTCTGATTGCCTTTGACTTGCCTGTAGGTATTCTCTCTCTCACTGGGCCAGGGCACTGGGGACAGATATTCTCCTGTAGTTATGGCTAAGGAGTGGGCCTAGCTGTTTGATCATGGAAGATAGCCCACTCTGACTGAATGGTCGCCTTGTGTGCTGCCGCTGTCCTTTAATCTATTTTAGGGATAACGTTGACAGGACACAAAGGGAGAGTTAAAATGCCTCACATTGTGACAAGCGCTGTATAAAAGAATCAGTTTTCCTTTTTATTGCCTGGGCGGAGGGAGAATCAACAAAAAGAATTTGTAAGTGACTCCCGTTGGTCAATGTGGGTAAAAGGGCATTGGGTGGAGGCAGATAACACCCAATTCCAGCCCCTCCCCACCCCACACGAGGGGGAGAATATCTGTCCCCAGTGCCCTGGCCCAGTGAGAGAGAGAATACCTACAGGCAAGTCGAAGGCAATCAGAGAGAGTCGGAAAAAAATAGGCTTCCTAGTTATGAATGGATCTGGTGGAATAGAGAAACTACTATAGGTGGTAAAGAGCTCGTAACCAGAGGGGACAGACTTAAAATGAAAGATCCAGAGACAAGGCATTAGGTTGGCACTTCCTAAAAGGTAACAAAAGTAGGTTCAATGCTAACTCTGTTTTTCTCTCTCCACAGATGCTGCCAGATCTGCTGAGTTTCTCCAGCAATTTAGGGATAAAGCTGGAGGGTGTGTGAGACTAATGGGGTGACTCCTGCCATAAGAACAAAAGGGCTGAATGGCCTCAAGTTGGAGCTCTGAGATCCTTCAGAATAGATGACTGCAATCAGCCAGTGCTGGTGAAGGTAGGCACTGGGGGAATAGCATTGCGTGCTGTAACTTGGAGACGAAGAACAATTATTGAGGCATTTGAAACTCCAGGGTGACCTGCACACACTTCATTAAAGGTTCGACTAAATTATGGTCAAAAAAAGCCAAGAGGTTAGTTCTTGGCTGACTGTTAGGTTTCTCTGAGTGAATGTACACTGGAATAGCTATGGAGCCTAATTAAACAGGAATTGTCTTTGACTGGGGAGTCAGTCCCCTGGGTACCAGCTACAACTGTGCGAAGTACTCATGGAATGTGGCAGATCCAGAGACCCTGGGGCTGAAAGCTGCTGAAAACACGGGTTAAGTAAAGGGCAATGTTACATGGGTGAGCAGTCACATTTTTTCCCATCATATTTCACTCCTTGTTGTGCTAAACTCCAGCTGCCTGTACTGCTTGTGGAAAACCTCCTCACATTCTCTGCCTGAGTGCACTGGCAAACTGGCAATCAGTTCCATATAAAAGCTCACAGTCAGTTACAAGACAGTGAGAGAAACAAAACAGTAACTGAGCACCAATGCAGCGCAAGGCTATCCTGTTCAAAACACTTCTGTCTACACCCTTACTCAGGCCAAGTCCCATTCACCCCTGGCCCCTGTGTGGATCAGGAACCATCTGATACCATCTTTGTGTTCAAATCCTTGAAAGCTCCCCCAACTCTGTAACCTCCTACACCCCCAAGGTCTCTGTATTCCTCATACAGTGTTCAGTTGTTCTGTGTTTGACTATGTGAGCCTGTTTACTATTGCTGCTCACTGTGCTTGATTGGTTAAGCCTGGGTGCAGATTAAGGGAAGAGTAAACAAAACTGCAGTAGCAGCTGGAAGCCAGAGCTAAAAACATGGAGCCAACATTGGAAAGCACTCAATAAAACCTGAAATTGCTGGAAAAGCTCAGTGTTCTGAGAAGGGTTACTGGACTTGAAATGTTACCTCTGCTCTCTCTCTCTGCAGATGTTGCCAGACCGGCTGAGTTTTTTTCCAGCAATTTCTGATTTTGTTTCTGATTTCCAGCATCTGTAGTTCTTTGGATTTTTTTTTGTTTAGTGAGTAAAACCTGTTACACACATAGAAACGATGTCAACTTTGCATAAATCAGAGATATAAAATATACTTTGCCTTCAGTTCTGTTCTCTGACGTATCTCTGAATTTAAGTGCTCCAGTACCTGCCTAAATTCTGAGCTTTAAAATTCCTTCCCTTTAGTCGCACTCTCTCTCTCTAAAGATACTGTTTAGAACCTAATACATTACCAAGTTATTGACCTGTCTTAGTGACTCAGTGTCTGATTGTGTCGATAACACTCTGACACATGGATTTTTTTGAAAAATAAAGTTACATTTTTCTCCATGCCTTCTTACAATTTTTTTTCCACCTAGTTGTCT